AAGTCAACAAAATAGACACAATACAAAATAAAACTCTTGACATGGAGGAGAAGCAGCTCTACTCTGAGCTCATTGTGTGTGAATGAGAATCTTCAAAGTCATTTTAAGTAAGTAAGTAAGTATTCTTTATTGATATCGTGCCTTTCTCAGACCTGAGTCAAAGCGGTTTACAGTTGTGGGCACTTGTTTCTGACTCCACACAGATGGGAGTGAGGTTTTTGACCGGTTATATCCGCAATCTCGTCCTTTCGGTTCCTAAACTTAAGTATTGATCAGTTCAAGAGCTTTTCCTTTTGTCTGAGCTCCCTCTTCACCAAAAGTCTAATACAGAGACGCCCCACTGCAGACTCTTGCTCCCTTCCGCCCCCTGTTGGACGGGAGGCCACGGAGTCAGACCCAAACACGGACTAGAGCTGTTTTTGTTTGGCCCCAGGTCCTGACCCAACAACCAACTGTGAGTTTTGTGCTGGATGAAGGACCCTGCAGTGTGCTGTGGGTTTGTTGATTGAGGATTAGCTTCATAATCACCTGAGCTGCTTCGGGACAATGACAACATACTTAGCACGTCAGCTGATTGAATGTAAATGAAAAGTTATCCCACTGTGGAGCATTGCACACAAACAAACTCAGCCAGAAAGATCATACAGAACACATGTTGATAAATGTTGTATAGGACCACATTATGGAAAGTGGTTTGTAAAAGTCTGCTCACATAAATAGTGTGTAGTATTTCTCATGCGAGCCTTAGTTTGTAAGTATGAGCTTGTTCTGCTAAAGCGGATTAAAATACCACTCAATAAATCTGATTTACTGCATTTTACACCCGTTTAATTCCACAAATTACAATCAAATACGCTTCTGTCTCAACTCTCCACCATCTTTTCTAAGAGATCCATGAACTGTTTTACTTAATGGTCGTCGTTCATGTCATTCAAACGTGTGACGTGAGTGTAACAGTGACCGCCGTGACCACCCACAGACTGTTGGAAGAGGTCAGAGGTCATCAAGCTTCAGCACACAATGACTGCAGCTACTGTTGCAACACTCAAGTTTCCTTTTGTGGGACAAATAAAAGGTTCACTTGTCTTATCTTATCCATACAGTACAGAGACGTCCTGCAGCCGTCCATGCGTAAACAGTAACCACGGAAACCAGCGGTGTTGGGCGCCAGATCATGGAGAAACAAACACAATGCAAACTCCACCACGAACCCCCGCACGTTTGGAAGCCTGGACTTTCAATGTCTGCTTTTAGCTTGTTTTTTATTAGTTAACAGCTAGTTTCCAACTGTAGTCCCATGGAAAGGTGTAAAATGCCATCAAAGTACACTGCAAACATTACAATATGAAAATAATTTGTTAAAACATTACAATTTAAAACGGGTCATTAATACATATTAAAATAAAACACTAAATCTTGTCATATTTTGGTTTTATTGACAAGAGGGAGATCCAACCAAACACATTTCATTAAATAGTACAATTGTATTTAGGGATGTACCGATCCGATATTCAGTATCGGTATCGGGGCCAATATGGGTATTTTATAAGGATCAGATTTGTTAAATATTGGGGAGTTTACCTTTACAGAGTTCACAGACTGGTTAAGTACTGGCGTTTTGTGGTCATTCAGTTATGGACCAACTCTTTTCTTTTTGTTTTACTGAATGTTGAGCTTTTTGATAAATGTTCCTCTTTGATATCTCTTTTATATCAAGTTTATTTTAAAGGTGAAATATTCCATACTGATGTGATTCTTACCTATGACCTAACTCAGTAGGTCCGTTAAGCAAAAGTCAAACAATATTTTTGATCATGTTATAATAAAAAATAATAATAAAAACATTTTAAAGTAATACCGGTTGCAAAATTGTACTGCTTTGAAAATATTAGAAAAAATTGGATCGGTATCGGCAAAACAATATTTAAGAATATCAGAATCGGATCACAAAAATTCTGGATCGGTACATCCCTAAAATGTTGCAAGAAAAGCCAAACAATAAAAGATATCTAGATTTACATTTACAGGTATACATCTTTGTCCATATACAGTGTCTTGCGTGATTGTTAATACAGCTTGAACAAACACAAAAGATGGTATGTTAATTCTATAATACTAATCCTTATTTATTCATGAATCCATTCCCAGTTTTTCAGTATGTATCCAATATCTGCCGTTGGTTGTTCCAGTTACAGTTTGAGGACCTCCAGACTGCCAGAGTCTGAGAAGCAGCAGCAGTGACATGATTTTTCCATTACACTGTAAACATAAGGCCAATGTCTGCCCTTCAGCCATGACCAGAACGCACTAACAAAACTGTTTAGTCCAGATGGATGTGGACGGGACTTCACACCGACTCTTTTACACTAACTGTTTTACTGAAGAAAAACAGAGAGTTAAAAAAGAGTTAAAAAAACTAAAAAGAGTTAGTTGCATGAGTTTAACTGAACTGCTGCTGTACTTTCCAGCGATGGGGAAAAAGGCAGGACGGTGGTGGTGGGCGGAGCTTTGATGCTAACGCTGGTACTTCCGCATCGGCAAACACGTTAGCAACATTTATTTACAATCCTGTATTTGTATTTTTCTTCATTATTTATCATTTATTTATTGTTCTGACGCCGCGGGTCCCTTTTAAACAACAAAGAATACCTCTTTTTGTGCACTTTACTTAAAACAAGTCAATATTTGGCAGATACTGCATAGTTTACATTTGTATGTTTTTTTGTTGGTCCATGGCCACGTTTTGTTATCCTATTCATCGATCAATCGAAAAAATAATTGACGGATTAATCGATTATTAAAATAACAGTTAGCCCTAATCAAAATGAAACAAATAACAAGATTTAGGGTCTGTAAAAGTAATTAAAAAATTCAAATATCTATGAACTACTGCTATCAGTTAAAGAAGGATTGGAAAAGAGCATTTTATTATTATAACAGATTAGGGCCCTTTACTGATGACAGATTAGGGCCCTTTAATGATGACGGATTAGGGCCCTTTACTGATGACAGATTAGGGCCCTTTAATGATGACGGATTAGGGCCCTTTAAGGATGACAGATTAGGGCCCTTTAATGATGACAGATTAGGGCCCTTTAATGATGACAGATTAGGGCCCTTTAATTATGACAGATTAGGGCCCTTTACTGATGACAGATTAGGGCCCTTTAATTATGACAGATTAGGGCCCTTTAATGATGACAGATTAGGGCCCTTTAATGATGACAGATCAGGGCCCTTTAATTATGACAGATTAGGGCCCTTTATTGATGACAGATTAGGGCCCTTTAATGATGACAGATTAGGGCCCTTATGACAGATTATGGCCCTTTATTGATCACAGATTAGGGCCCTTTAATGATGACAGATGAGGGCCCTTTACTGATGACAGATTAGGGCCCTTTACTGATGACAGATTAGGGCCCTTTACTGATGACAGATTAGGGCCCTTTAATGATGACAGATTAGGGCCCTTTAATGATGACAGATTAGGGCCCTTTAATGATGACAGATTAGGGCCCTTTAATGATGACAGATTAGGGCCCTTTAATGATGACAGATTAGGGCCCTTTATTGATGACAGATTAGGGCCCTTTACTGATGACAGATTAGGGCCCTTTAATGATGAATCTCTTACGTATAACTACTTGAGGGTTTTAAAGTTCCATGAGCAGCTGAGTGTGAAGTCGATCCCAGAGGTGGCGGTGAACTTTTGTTTGTGGATTAGAGGCTCTGGACTGTTACAAGAAATGTGTTGGAAGTCTGTGTTTAAGAATATAGATTGTAACTTTCCACTACTTTTGGTGCGAGTTTGTTTTCGGCCAGAGAAAAGAAAAACCACAGTGCATTGGCTAAGGACACATTCAGCTAACATCAGCGAACGACATCACAGCAAAAAGGTCAATTTAACAGAAAATAATCAATCCATCAACATTTGTAAACATTTGTTAAAAATACACATTTAATTAAAATATATTATATCTGTATCAATCTTCTCCGAACACAATTTACAAGTATCCTATTGAATCAAATCAACTGCAACAAAACACTTTTCTTTGTTTTGTGTGTGGAAATCATCCCGCGACCCCCACTTTGGGAACCACTGCTGTAGATGTGTGTTTAACCTGCTTTATCACAGTTAGAGATCCACAAACTAGAATCCCTGTTTTGTCAAATGCTGACATAAGGAAACATTTGCAGGTTCACGTTCCAAGTTGGACCGCACAAAACAGATCAGTGCTGGAGTCGTGTTGTTACAAACCCGTTCACATTACACAGAGATTGTCATTGTTTGCAGCAGCAGCAGCAGCAGCAGCAGCAGCAGCAGCAGAGTCGAGTCAGTTGCAGGGGATTTGCACGCTCTGTCAATCATTACTCACAGCATTACAACTCCACTCTTGTTTGGATGGCACCAGTTGCTTCCAAAGTATATAAAACACAAGCACAGCACATCTTATACGATAAATACAGCCTTTAAATCTACACGACAAACCGGAAAATGTATGAAATCATTGACATACGACTCTGTTTGTCCTCAAAGGGCTGCAACTTTATAAATCAATCCAAAACAACCATCTTCCCATACATCCCAATGCTAACATCAACTGACAGATCCATTCCTGTATAATCTAATTCCACAGCGACATGTCTGGGTTGATTTCTTCTTCCCTGTATCTTATGCCACTAATGCATCACATTTTGATTCAACTCTACAGGGCATTTTCCTTTCCATTTTCTCCGGCTAACCCCCAGATGTGTCCCTCCTCGTTTGCCTCTTGCCCCCTTCCCTTCAGCAGCCATGACCGGTTTGCAATCTCCAGTAACATCCGTGCTTCAAATCCAAAAGCAGAACCAACAACACCCACGAGGGATTGTTGACAACAGACTCTCCTCATCTACATTTGACTATTTTCATTCAGGCGTGACACAGACCACCTGCTCCACTCGCCAAACTCGCTGCTATTTCCATACAGAGCTGAAGAACACTGAAGGACATCCTAATGCCAGAACCAAACGCTGCCTGGTCCCATTCCAGAGACGCCCATGGCCATAACAAACACTCACGCACCGTCAGAACGTGCTCCCCCTCCGAGTCCTCCATTTGTCCTCGCACCTCCACAGAGCCGAGCCGGAGAGCGGAGACGGTGGTTCGGTGGTTCGGTGGCCGGGGAGCTAGCGCGGTTAGCGTAGCACTTGTCTGCTCCTTCCTCTTGCCTTCATCTCTTTATAGACGGAGGAGGAGAGGGGCACACGGAGCAGCCAATCCCACCGTGGCACCATGAATATTTTATCTTTGGGCCAAGAGCTTTTATAAACACACAGGCGCTAACATTTGGAGCTCACCCACAGAGACATTCAGCCCAGAGAGATGAAGACCCCGTAAGTGCGAGCTCAGTGGGGATTGTTTTGATGTTATTGTACGTTATGAACCATATGGCACCATCAACAAGCTTTAACACAGAAAGTCCAACTGTAGATTGTAAGATATGTGCCATGAGTACATTTAAACTAGACAAGCACTTGTAGAGGGCAGACATCCGCCAGGTTACATGTTATGTTTTGTTTTATTTTTATATTTGTTGTTGTTTTATTATTATATCGGGTAAACACAGGAGCAACACAGGTGTTATGTAAAAGGAAAATAACATTGATACAGTGCCTTGCGAAAGTATTCGGCCCCCTTGAACCTTTCAACATTTTGCCACATTTCAGGCTTCAAACAAAGATATAAAAATGAAATTTTTTGTCATGAATCAACAACAAGTGGGACACAATCGTGAAGTGGAACGAAATTTATAGGATAATTTAAACTTTTTTTAACAAATAGAAAACTGAAAAGTGAGGCGTGCAATATTATTTGGTCCCTTTACTTTCAGTGCAGCAAACTCAGTCCAGAAGTTCAGTGAGGATCTTTGAATGATCCAATGTTGTCCTAAATGACTGATGATGATAAATAGAATGTACCTGTGTGTAATCAAGTCTCCGTATAAATGCACCTGCTCTTTGATAGTCTCAGGGTTCTGTTTAAAGCGCAGAGAGAACCATGAAGACAAAGGAACACACCAGGCAGGTCCGAGATACTGTTGTGGAGAAGTTTAAAGCCGGATTTGGATACAAAAAGATTTCCCAAGCTTTAAATATCTCAAGGAGCACTGTGCAAGCAGTTATATTGAAATGGAAGGAGTATCAGACCACTGCAAATCTACCAAGACCCGGCCGTCCCTCCAAACTTCCATCTAAAACAAGGAGAAGACTGATCAGAGATGCAGCCAAGAGGCCCATGATCACTCTGGATGAACTGCAGATAACTACAGCTGAGGTGGGAGTCTGTCCATAGGACAACAATCAGTCGTGCACTGCACAAATCTGGCCTTTATGGAAGAGTGGCCATTTCTCAAAGATATCCAATAAAAGTCTCTTAAAGTTTGCCACAAGCCACCTGGGAGACACACCAAACATGTGGAAGAAAGTGCTCTGGTCAGATGAAACCAAAATCAAACTTTTTGGCCACAATGCAAAACGATATGTTTGGCGTAAAAGCAACACAGCTCATCACCCTGAACACACCATCCCCACCTCAGCTGTAGTTATCTGCAGTTCATCCAGAGTAATCATGGGCCTCTTGGCTGCATCTCTGATCAGTCTTCTCCTTGTTTGAGATGAAAGTTTGGAGGGACGGCCGGGTCTTGGTTGATTTGCAGTGGTCTGATACTCCTTCCATTTCAATATAATTGCTTGCACAGTGCTCCTTGAGATGTTTAAAGCTTGGGAAATCTTTTTGTATCCAAATCCGGCTTTAAACTTCTCCACAACAGTATCTCGGACCTGCCTGGTGTGTTCCTTTGTCTTCATGGTTCTCTCTGTGCTTTAAACAGAACCCTGAGACTATCAAAGAGCAGGTGCATTTATACAGAGACTTGATTACACACAGGTGCATTCTATTTATCATCATCAGTCATTTAGGACAACATTGGATCATTCAAAGATCCTCACTGAACTTCTGGACTGAGTTTGCTGCACTGAAAGTAAAGGGGCCGAATAATATTGCACGCCCCACTTTTCAGTTTTTTATTTGTTAAAAAAGTTTAAATTATACAACAAATTTCATTCCACTTCACGATTGTGTCCCACTTGTTGTTGATTCATGACAAAAAATAAATTTTTTATATCTTTATGTTTGAAGCCTGAAATGTGGCGAAATGTTGAAAGGTTCAAGGGGGCCGAATACTTTCGCAAGGCACTGTATATCTGAGGGTTCACTTTGGAAAGAGATCAGCAGTGACCGAGAATTGTGAATGTATTAAATCAATTGGAAGAACATTATTATTGCACTTGTAATAGTCTGTTCTTGGATTTTCTATATTTTTTCTATAGATCTGTCTTGTAAAAGACAGACAGGTATTGAGGATACCAGAGTTTTCTCAAACAAGCCCTGTGTCTGAGTGACAGACGTGTATTTGGGGGCGTGGCCTCAGATCAGAGGAAGACACCTCACGGCATGAACAAACTTGAATTACTTTGGCAAAGGTTCAAGTTCTCCTCAAACATAATCCCTGAACCCTGGTTCCATAATCCCTAAACCTGGTGACACTCCAAACTTTGTGATCCATAAATTCAATAATGTCCGTAAATGACATTTACAGTCTGAAATAAAACTCACAGTCAGGAGAGAAGTACTGCGTCCTGCGTGAGCTGCAGTTAAATGTGAGGAATTGGTTTTGAAAAACTGAGCAGGGCCCAGATTAAGATTTAATTTAAATTATTTATAAAACTACATTTAAAGAGTGACATTCGTAGTAAATAAAGTCATCAGCCTCTTTAGTCCCTCTCTGTCCTCGTCCACTGCAGCAGATCCACAGGTGCCGTGGATCCACAGGTGCCGAGGATCCACAGGAGACGAGGATCCACAGGAGACGTGGATCCACAGGTGACGTGGATCCACAGGAGACGAGGATCCACAGGAGACGTGGATCCACAGGTGCCGTGGATCCACAGGTGACGTGGATCCACAGGAGACGTGGATCCACAGGTGCCGTGGATCCACAGGAGACGAGGATCCACAGGAGACGTGGATCCACAGGAGACGTGGATCCACAGGAGACGAGGATCCACAGGTGCCGTGGATCCACAGGAGACGAGGATCCACAGGAGACGTGGATCCACAGGTGCCGTGGATCCACAGGAGACAAGGATCCACAGGAGACGAGGATCCACAGGAGACGTGGATCCACAGGTGACGTGGATCCACAGGAGACGTGGATCCACAGGTGCCGTGGATCCACAGGAGACGAGGATCCACAGGAGACGAGGATCCACAGGAGACGAGGATCCACAGGTGCCGTGGATCCACAGGTGACGTGGATCCACAGGAGACGAGGATCCACAGGAGACGTGGATCCACAGGAGACGAGGATCCACAGGAGACGAGGATCCACAGGAGACGAGGATCCACAGGAGACGAGGATCCACAGGAGACGTGGATCCACAGGAGACGAGGATCCACAGGAGACGAGGATCCACAGGTGCCGTGGATCCACAGGTTTTTATTTTTATTTTTTTTTATTTAACACCATGTGATACAGATTCCATAAAAAACATAAATTACTATGTGCAACATAGTAGTGCAGAATATATTGGTGGAGGAGGGAAGGGGGAGTGGGGGGGGGGCATTTTTAAGGCATCCAGAGCATGAAACGAAGAAATACAAAATACTAAATAAAAAAAATAAAATAACAAGCAAGTACTGTCGTGGAAATATGTAGGTGCTAATGTGTAAGTGTGGGTGTTAATGTATTTGAATGTTTGTGTATATGTATAAATGTGTGACCATATGTGTCTGAAGAAGAAATAGAAAAAATAGAAAAACAGAGCAATAACAGTGAATAAAACGGAAAAAAAACAACATAAAAAAAAACAAATGAGTGCTGCCACTTGCTGTCTCCACAGATCCCAGTAACGTATTTTGGCTGTTTATGTGACAATATATTTATTTGCTTATTTTGTATTATTATTATTATTTGTATTTTTTCATTTATTTATTTTTTGTGCGCGTCTACACATCGACAGCAGGGCCACTTCCTTGTTTAATCTTGTGTGTATTGTATGTGTGTGTTGAGTGTGGCTTATGTTATGCATTAAAAATCCAGGGTTCTGTGGGAGGTCTGCGCTCCAGGGGAGTCATCTCTAGAGCGCATGCCTCCCCTCTTGAATGGCCTGATCTAGTAGGTGTGAGTCTGTTGTTGGTTTTTTTCATTTTTTCCTTTTTTCAGTTTTGGTTTGGTAAAAAGGGCTTTGGTTACTGTGGTGACAGGGTTAGCAGCATAATACTAATGGTGTTAGGATTCTGTGTGTGTGTGTATTGTGTGTTGTGTGTTGTGTGTGGTGTGTGGTGTGTTGTGTGTGGTGTGTAGTGTGTGGTGTGTGGTGTGTGTGTGTGCGTGTGTGCGTGTGTGCGTGTGCGTGCGCGTGCGTGCCAGTGGATAGTGGGGGGGGCTTCCAAACACTAGTGATTAGTATACGGTGATATTGAGGTATTTGATGAAGGGTGACCAAGTTTCCGTAAAGGACAGTACGTTATCATCTTGAGATGATGGGTGATGTGTGGTGATGTGATGAGTGAGGGAGTTGATCCAGTGGTTGATACTTATTGAGTTTTTGGTTTTCCAGTTTAGTAAGATTATCCTCTTGGCGATAGCTAGAGATGTCAGAAGGCATTTTGTGTATCTGGTAGGTATGGGGCTGGTAGAGGTGGCGCTCAATAGACACAGAGATGGGGAGAGCGGGACTCTGCAGCTCAGGATGTCAGAGAGTTTTAGAGTGACTGTGTGCCAAAAGGATTGAACTGGTGTGCATTCCCACAGTGCATGTATGTATGTGTCTGTGGAGCCCATTGTGCATTGAGTGCATGTGCTTGTGTCTGTTAGTCCCATTTTATGCTTTTTGTATTCAGTTATATGTGTTCTGTGAATAATCCTGTATTGTATCATTTGTAAATTGGTGTTTGGTGTCATGGAGAAGGTGTTGGTGCATATTTCTGTCCAGAATTTGGGTGTGATGGGTGAGTTAATGTCCAGGTTCCATTTTTCTTTTGGGGTGTGTATTGTTTGGTCTGTATTCAAGAAGTTGTGTAGTTTGGATATTAATTTTTTCATAGTTTTAATGTTTTTTATATTTTCAATGAGTTGGGGTGCAGTTAAGGGGTTGTGTTGTATGTTAATCTTGCTTTTGATTATGGATTTGATTTGGAAATATTGAAATGTGCAGTTTTGGTTGAGATTGAATTTGTCTGTTAGTTGTTTATATGTCATAAATGTGTTGTTGTTGAATAGATGTCCGAGGTGGGTGATTCCTTTTTGTTCCCATGTGTTGTAGTGCAGTGGTGTGTTATTTGTGTGAAAGTCAGGGTTGTGCCAGAGAGGAGTGTATTTGCAGGGTGTAGGTGATGAGTTAGTTAGTTTTAAAGCTTTCCACCAGGCTGTCAGAGTTGTTGAGATAGTTATGTATTTAAAAGAGGTATGTTTTTTGAGTGCAGTGTTCATTGCTGGTAAGTCTGTCAGTTGGATGTTATGTAAGATAGATTGTTCGATTTCTGTCCAGGAGTTATTGTGTGTAGGCTTTATCCATGTTGCTAGGTATTGTAATTGGTTTGCAAGGAAGTAGTGTGTGAAGTTGGGTGCGTTAAGGCCGCCCTGTGATTTGGGCTGTTGTAATGTTGAAAGTTTGATTTTGGCTTTTTTGTGTTTCCAGTAAAATTTTGATATGAGTGAGTCGAGTGATTTGAACCATTTATCTGTGGGTGTGACGGGTATGTTAGAGAATAGGTAGTTGAGTTTTGGAAGGATCTTAATTTTTATTGCAGAGATGCGGCCGATGAGAGTGAGTGGGAGGTTTGTCCATCTGTCTAGATCATCTTTTATTTGGTCAAAAACCGGGGTGTAGTTTAGTGGGAACAACTCTGACAACCTGGGGGAAATGTGGATGCCCAGATATTTAATGTTGCCCGTGTGAATCCCAGGGAAGAGATCCTGAGCTGAAGAGTTCCAAGCGCCATCTGTCAAGGGAAGTATTGTAGATTTATTCCAGTTTAATGTGTAGTCTGATATGGCTGAAAAAGAGTTTATTATTTTGAATGCTTCATGTAATGATTCTGTGGGGTTTTGGAGGTATAGGAGGATGTCATCGGCATAAAGGCTTATTTTATGGTGTATATTAAGGGTGCGTATTCCATTGATGCTGTTGGATTGGCGTATGGCAGTTGCTAGTGGTTCTAAGAATAATGCGAAGAGTGAGGGAGAGAGTGGGCATCCTTGTCGTGTTCCCCGGTGCAGTGTGAATGTGGAGGATGTGATACTGTTGGTTGTAACTGTGGCCCTGGGTGAAGTATAAAGTATTTTAATCCATGAAATAAATGACTCCCCGAAGCCGAATTGGTGTAGTGTGTGAATCAGAAATGTCCAGTTAAATTTATCGAAGGCTTTTTCTGCATCTAGTGATGTTATGACGGTGTCTGTATTTGAGTGTTGTGAGAGGTTAATGAGGTTGAATAGTCTGCGGAGATTGTCTGAAGAATTTCTGTTTTTTATGAAGCCTTTTTGGTCTGGATGGATGAGAAGCGGAGTGACTTGTTCTAATCTGTGGGCTAGAGCTTTAGTGATAATTTTTAGATCAGTATTGAGTAATGAGAGGGGTCTGTAGCTGGTGGGTTGGGTGGGGTCCTTATTTGGCTTTAGAAAGATTATTATGCTGGCTGTGTTCATGTGTGGTGGGATGTATGAGGAGTTTTTTATTTCGTGTACAGTGTGGATGAAAAGTGGTGACAGTAGGTTCCAGAAATGTTTATAGAATTCGGGTGGGAAGCCATCTGGTCCGGGGCATTTGTTGTTTGGCATATTAGTGAGGGCTTTATGAAGGTCAGTTGAGGATAGTGGGGCATCTAGCATTTGGGCTATTTCTGTGGGGAGATGTGGCAACTTTAGGTGCTTAAAAAAAGAGTTGATTTCTGTAGGGTTGGTATTTGTCGTAGAGGTGTAGAGTGTTTTGTAGAATTGTTGAAATGTGTCATTGATTTCCTGAGGGTCGTGAGTGATTTGTTTTGTTGTGGTTTGTATTGCTTGAATAGTTGATTTGTCTTTTTTTCTTTTCAGTAAGTTGGCTAAGTATTTTGGTGAGATGTTATTTGCTTCTATAAGTTCATAATTCAGTTGTTGGATGATGAAATTGTTTTTTTTCTGTTGGATTTTCTCGAGTTGTTGTTGTGTGTTGAGTAGTTCTGGTAATAGTATGTTTCCCAGTAGTTCAAGTCTTTCAATTTTTTGGTGTAGTTGTTGTTCTATTTCGATTTCTTTTTTCTTTTTGTATGATGAATATGAGATTATTTTGCCTCTAATGTATGCTTTGCTTGTTTCCCAGAGAGTTATTGCGGTGGTTTCCGGGGAGTCATTAAATTCCATGAAGGATGTCCACTCTCTCTCCATCATTTTGTTGAATTCTGGGTCTTTGAGTAGTGAGAGATTGAAGCGCCATCTGCTGGAGTGTTTGGTGCACTGGTTAAGCTGTAATGTTAAACTGACAGGTGCATGATCGCTGATTGTGATTGGGTGAATTGTGGCATCTCTAATGTTAGCTAATAATGTATTGCTTATGAGGATGTGGTCGATTCGAGAGGATGATAGATGTGCTGATGAGTAGTATGTATATTGTCTTGTGTCAGGGTGTGACAATCTCCAGCTATCGCCAATGCCAAAATCCTCCATATATTGTTTTAGGATGTCAGTGGAGTGCCAGTTCCTGTTTCTGGTTGTGTGTGAGCGGTCTAGTCTTGGGTCCAGTGTGATGTTAAGGTCGCCTGCAATGATGATGTTAGAGCTGTCGATTAATTGGTTAAATATGTTGTGGAAGAAAATGGGGTCGTCGCTGTTGGGTCCGTATAGGTTGACAATTGTAAATTTGTTACTCGATATGGTAGCATGGATGATAACATACCGTCCTTCAGGGTCAGCTGTAGTCGAAACCAGATTGAAGAGGTTTTTTTTGTGGACTAGAATGGAGACTCCCCTTTCTCTGCTGTTGTATGGTGATGAATATATGTTATTGTAGTCTTTAGGTTTGAGGTTATGTAGGTCGTCCATTGACAGATGTGTTTCTTGTATGAAGCAGATGTCGGGTTTGAGAGTTTTGAGATGGCTAAATACTTTTTGTCTTTTTGTCATAGTTCGGAGTCCGCGCACATTCCATGTAACGCATGTTATTGTGTTTTGTGTCTGTGGGTGCATGTCTGTGCATGAGAGGGTCTGATGATAAGTCCAGGGCAGTACAGTAAGTCAGGGTTTGTTTCATAGATTAGAGTAAAAAGGAGGGGGTGGGGGGTGCGGGGAGTTGGAGGGTACAGTTCAGGGTTTAGGAGTGGTGAGTGACAGTCAGATTGGGAGTGTGCGAGCATTGAGCCAATGGTGCTTTGCTCGCGAGAGTAGAAGGCTGTGCGATGTTTGTATATTGAATTGAGTGTTATTTGTTGTATCCTGTGGATGTGTCATGAGCAAATATGTAGTGATGTGTGTGGTGTTATAAGAAGTGTGCTTTGTGTATGTTTCGATAGTATTTGTATGGCTGTGTGTGCGATGTCCATGAGAGAGGTCGTTTTATCTTGTGTGGTGTATATATACATATACATACGTACATATCCACATACATATCCGTACATATACATACCTACACACACACATTCATGCATATATATATACACACAGACATACCATACAAACACATAGATGCATAATATATACATACATACACACATACACATATATAGATATAGACATGGAGATAGAGAGAGATTAAGTTATGTGGTTATGTATGTTATTGAAAGCATTGCATCAGTAGAGCCAAGGTGTTATTTCAGAGTCTCGATATAGTTGTCCATTTATGTACAGTTTGTCGATGCTTATTACGGCTTTCTGTCCTTGTTGAATCATGTTTTTGCGTACTGGGAAGAGTTTTTGGCGTCTTTGAATTATTTCCTTCGGGAATTGGTCGTTCATTCCATAGTGTGTTCCTTTGAGTTGTCGGCCTTGTTTCTGAACCTGTTCCTTTTGTTTAAAGTGTTCGAATTTTGCCACAATCGGGCGCGGTCGTTTATTGTCCGGGTGTTTTGTGCCAATGCGATGCACGCGATGGAATGTGATAGACCGTGGATCCACAGGTGACGTGGATCCACAGGTGACGTGGATCCACAGGAGACGTGGATCCACAGGAGACGTGGATCCACAGGAGACGTGGATCCACAGGTGCCGTGGATCCACAGGAGACGTGGATCCACAGGTGACGTGGATCCACAGGTGCCGTGGATCCACAGGAGACGTGGATCCACAGGTGCCGTGGATCCACAGGAGACGTGGATCCACAGGTGCCGTGGATCCACAGGAGACGTGGATCCACAGGAGACGGACACAACCTCATTACAAAGCGCCTCTCGTGGATCAAGGTCAAACACGTTTGTCATCGAGATGTAATTTACTGAACAATGACTGCGAGCGCAGATGAATGAACGTTCAACCTTCAAAGATTCTGACGCTTCGTTCTTTGAAAGATTCTCTACAGAAAAAGGACCGAGATAAAGAGAACAATAGTTTTTAGACATAAATGAAAATAACAACACTGTCTCCAGAAAATATGATTTATATGTTTTTAAGTCCAGATCTCTGATAAAACAGCCCACAGCAGAGTTATACCTCGTCCAAACCAATCCTCCACTTTATTTGTATAAACTGACATTTCTGATTGTGTCACAGACTCCATTAAGACACTGAAGCAGCTGTGGCTCCGTACAGACGCATCATGCTCCGGTTTGACCCAGAACAGCTTCAGTCCAGTCAAAGCACTTTTCTACAATCCATGAGACCCTAACCCTGAACCCTGAACCCTGAACCCTGAGTCCAAGGAACTGAAGTAAACCCCTTTTTCAGTAAAAACATAAACAAGAGAAATATGAGAAATATACAGATATAGCTCAAATCTACATTAAAGTCAACAGTTCTTTCTTTCTTCCCAGTTTTGGAGAAAATCTGATCCATCGTATATTTTACAAATGGAAAAACATTGAAACTCAAGATTGATCCATGATATGAGCAATATAATAATATGTATTTCCGTGGATCATCCGGGCTCCAGACGACACATGAGGAGGAGGAAACAAACCTCCCCCAAAGTAAATAATGTCCAGATGCAGTGAAACAAACATCCGACTGACTCAGCACTGACACGCTAACTGATGCTAACACGGTTTTATCATCTGTACGTTCAGACTGACTCAGCACTGACACGCTAACTGACGCTAACACGGTTTTATCATCTGTACGTTCAGACTGACTCAGCACTGACACGCTAACTGACGCTAACACGGTTTTATCATCTGTACGTTCTCAGCAAAGTCAAATCTCGTATTCCACATTTGGAGAAGGCCATTGGTGCTTTAATCACCTCCAGGTTTGATGATAGTGACTCCCTCTGAGCTGCAGCCGCCAACAGGGACAGAGGGACCACATCACTCCTGTCCTGGGACCACATCACTCCTGTCCTGGGACCTGTGATAGGACCAGGTGGAGGACAGGTCGAGACCAGAGGAGACAGGCCCTTCTCTGTGATAGGACCAGGTGGAGACCAGAGGACGCAGGGCCTTCTCTGTGATAGGACCAGGTGGAGGACAGGTCGAGACCAGAGGAGACAGGCCCTTCTCTGTGATAGGACCAGGTGGAGACCAGAGGACGCAGGGCCTTCTCTGTGATAGGACCAGGTGGAGACCAGAGGAGACAGGCCCTTCTCTGTGATAGGACCAGGTGGAGACCAGAGGACGCAGGCCCTTCTCTGTGATAGGACCAGGTGGAGACCAGAGGACGCAGGCCCTTCTCTGTGATAGGACCAGGTGGAGACCAGAGGACGCAGGCCCTTCTCTGTGATAGGACCAGGTGGAGACCAGAGGACGCAGGGCCTTCTCTGTGATAGGACCAGGTGGAGACCAGAGGACGCAGGGCCTTCTCTGTGATAGGACCAGGTGGAGGACAGGTCGAGACCAGAGGAGACAGGCCCTTCTCTGTGGATAGGACCAGGTGGAAACCAGAGGACGCAGGGCCTTCTCTGTGATAGGACCAGGGAGACCAGAGGGTAGGACCAGGTGGAGACCAGAGGACGCAGGCCCTTCTCTGTGATAGGACCAAGTGGAGACCAGAGGACGCAGGCCCTTCTCTGTGATAGGACCAGGTGGAGACCAGAGGACGCAGGGCCTTCTCTGTGATAGGACCAGGTGGAGACCAGAGGACGCAGGGCCTTCTCTGTGATAGGACCAGGTGGAGGACAGGTCGAGACTAGAGGAGACAGGCCCTTCTCTGTGATAGGACCAGGTGGAGACCAGAGGAGACAGGCCCTTCTCTGTGATAGGACCAGGTGGAGACCAGAGGACGCAGGCCCTTCTCTGTGATAGGACCAGGTGGAGACCAGAGGACGCAGGCCCTTCTCTGTGATAGGACCAGGTGGAAACCAGAGGACGCAGGGCCTTCTCTGTGATAGGACCAGGAGGAGACCAGAGGACGCAGGGCCTTCTCTGTGATAGGACCAGGTGGAGACCAGAGGAGACAGAGTGTGATCCATTTTTGGGCCACAGCTCTGAAACTCTGAACCTTTGCACATTAAAACCGCACAATCACTTCCAGGACTTTAAATCTCTGCTGAAGACGCACCTTTTCTTTTTGGCTTTTTAAACCAGAAAGAAAGACAAGTTTTCGGTTTTTATGTATATATATATTTATGTATTCTTATGTTTTTTGCTGCCTGTACAGCACTGTGGTGAGCCTAGGCTGTTTTTAATGTGCTCAACAAATAAAAATGTGATTTGATTGATTGTAAGTGCGAAGACATAACTCTGATCATGACCGTCCTCGTGGCTCCTCCGTCGGGCATTGAGGAGATGGGATTTCCCTGTAATAGGACGACCGCCTCAGCTTTCCTCCATTCAACAACAGACGTAATGTACTTGTAATAGCTTTTTTTACACGGTTTTGTTTCAGAACATTTAGAGAAAGACACACGGGCCCAGACCTCAGCGAGCTCTGACAGAGCCGAGCAAACAGACTGTATACTTCCTGTTCCTGATTCAATTACAACACCGCAAAAGCAACAGGCCGTGCACTCAATGGACAACATAAAACAACCTTGGGCGTTAAAAAACATTCTATCAAGAACCATTTCAGATTGATAACTCCATTAACAAACCACACAGACCAAAGCTTATGAGGCCTTTCTCAAGAAAAAACAATCCAGAGAAAATATGAGAAATAGTATAGATGCAAAAACTAGTATTATACGCTCTACGACATCAGTATTGTATGGTGTTATGTCATTTCCTATGTCATTTCTTGCCTATAGGGTCTACGGATGAAAACTAGCTTGGTAGCTAAAGTCTGGCATTTAGTCATATCATACCCCTTGTTTTGGTTGTACAAAAAACCAAATCAAATCGAGAAAGACTTGGTTTTTCGCAGCTTTATGAATGGAGAGACTAAACTGTCACTGACCCCGCAACTCAACCACGCAGTATGTTATGAACGGGCCTTGAGAAAGAATAAAGAACTTTCCATCCCCACACAAGTAGCATCTGAGCCCCCTCTGTCGCGCGCTCATATTAGCATATAGCTGTGTGGCATTATCATAATAGCACGGCCCGACACGGCAGACCCCCAGACGGGAACACGGGCTCATTTGGACTAATTACCCATTCAGAATCTTGCAGAATCCAGCGAGAAAGCTCGGTAAAACCCTGACGCGCTGTGGCCCTAAGTGCAGAGCAGAAAGCAGGACGCACAAAAGGTTCTTCCTGCAGCACAATAATGGACCCTCAACCACAGATCTGTCATAAAAACCAGGATGTGAGGAAGGTTCGCGATGGGATGCAGGATTTGACAAAAAGAAATCATGCTAATGGTGGTCTGGGGGGAGACGGCCTTTCAGTGATGGATGTGAGACTCAGGGGGGCTTGTGTTGGAGCTGAATGGATTTAGAGAAAGGAAATATGCCACTAATGCGTTTTCACAGACTTAAAAAAGGCATAAAAAACCATCAGAGGAGTTGAATCATACAGACTGGACTGAACTTTCTCCGCCTTGTGTATGAACTGTGCTATTCAAAAAAACTTGCTTAGCCTTGCCTTCCTGTGTATTAGTAGCCTGGTCTTACCACACCATTGTACTAATTTCATTTCATGCTAAGGTCTGGATTGTCTCCATTGACTCCGTTAACAGGTGGGAGGGGCTAACTCCTTTTGCAGATTGAAACCATTGGATCTGAGTTTACTGTGACGCTTGTGACATTTAGCATTTAGCCTAGCTTTAGCATTTAGCCTAGCTTTAGCATTTAGAATAGCTTTAGCCATCTCCTATGCCACTAACGGAGCCCGTGGGGAGTAGAGCCACAACATCTTTGCTTCAATGACATTTACTAAACATTCCTCTTGCTCCGGCTTCAGTTTCTTGATATTTGGATTGAACCAGAACAGATTATTTTACTATCGCATTCTCCGACAAACTACAACCAGCAAATTCAGCACAAACTCTTGACGTCACTGACACCGACCTACAACACCCGCCTCCCCCGCTCTCTGATTGGTCGGAGAGGATTCAACCGAGGAAACTGCAGCCAATAGGATCAGACCCAGACGTACATGTAGGAGATGACCATGGACCAGAGTTTACACATGGTAAGACCAGACGTACATGTAGGAAATGACCATGGACCAGAGTTTACACATGGTAAGACCAGACGTACATGTAGGAGATGATCATGGACCAGAGTTTACACATGGTAAGACCAGACGTACATGTAGGAAATGACCATGGACCAGAGTTTACACATGGTAAGACCAGACGTACATGTAGGAAATGATCATGGACCAGAGTTTACACATGGTAAGACCAGACGTACATGTAGGAGATGACCATGGACCAGAGTTTACACATGGTAAGACCAGACGTACATGTAGGAGATGACCGTGGACCAGAGTTTACACATGGTAAGACCAGACGTACATGTAGGAAATGATCATGGACCAGAGTTTACACATGGTAAGACCAGACGTACATGTAGGAAATGACCATGGACCAGAGTTTACACATGGTAAGACCAGACGTACATGTAGGAGATGACCGTGGACCAGAGTTTACACATGGTAAGACCAGACGTACATGTAGGAAATGATCATGGACCAGAGTTTACACATGGTAAGACCAGACGTACATGTAGGAAATGACCATGGACCAGAGTTTACACATGGTAAGACCAGACGTACATGTAGGAGATGACCATGGACCAGAGTTTACACATGGTAAGACCAGACGTACATGTAGGAAATGACCATGGACCAGAGTTTACACATGGTAAGACCAGACGTACATGTAGGAAATGACCATGGACCAGAGTTTACACATGGTAAGACCAGACGTACATGTAGGAAATGACCATGGACCAG